AATTATTTCTCTAAGCTGCAAGGTGTTTCCAATTTCTGTGGTCCCAAAGGCTTCTTTCAACACCTTTGGGGGAGAGAGGGCAGGAGGACACCAATAACAACAAAACTTATAGGGTTGAGGGTTTGGGGAAGAACCTTAATGAAAGTGTTCTATCACTTTCTCTTCCACCCTTCAACTATCTTAGTACAGTCTCTCCTACATAAAGTACAAATTCTTGCTGAGCCAAGCTCTGCAGCTTTAGGGTGTGTGAGGGCCATTTAGCAGGTGGAGGGAGGAGGTTGCGTGCATTAATCAAATTCTCCATTATAAAGATTTTTGTTTTGCTGGTTTTTTTTTTCAGAACCACAGCGGAAAGTATAATTAAGGGCTCTCTTCCAGCTGTGGCTAAAGGAATAATCTTTTCCCATGTGTTCACTGGGATAGACTGTCTAGTGCAAAGCAGCCCATATCCAACGCCCATCACAGTGATTCCAGAGTATGTCTGGGTTCTTCTCAGGGGCTGGAGGCAAGGATCTAGAGGCATAGATAGGTAATGCCTCAGCCATACACATCAGCTCCAGAGACCGTGAGTAAGTCATGTCCCCTTTGGAAGAGCTTCTTTTTTTTTCCTTCATAAAATTCATAAAATAAGAGGTTTAGCTTAGAGGATCTCTAGGTCATTTCCAGTTCTGAAATTCTGAAGTCATGCCTTTGATGCACATTATAAGGATAAGAAGGGAAAAAAGAGCACTTATTTGTTTATTTGATTTTTTTATATGTGGGGGGAGGGCAAGTACAATTTAAGGTAGTCTGAAAGCAGTATAACTGAGGGTCTTTGACCTCATGCAACAGAAGGGAACTACCAGGATTGGGAAGATGATAGAATTTCAAGCTAGAACTTATCTTAGAAATCATCTAGCCTACCAATTCCTTCCTTTTAGAAAAGAAAAAAAAATGAAATGCAGAATTGGGAAGGGACTTGTTCCAGGTCACACAAAGGCTCAGAGATTTAGATCTGGAAAGGACCTCAGAGACCATCTAATATAACAATTAGGACCTTGTCCCTAATTTTACATATCAGTAAACTGAGGTCCAAGAGTGACTTGTCCAAGATCTCACAGTGTCAAAATGGAATTTGAACCCAAATCCTCTAACTCAAAATCCATGATTCATTTCACTACATTATTATTACCTCCAGTGCTGGCCATGGAACAGGCAGTTCCCAGTGGTCTTCTTTAAGGCTGCTGGGAAGGGCTCCTTCCTCCAAACTTCCCCCTTTCCCTGAAATTGATGCTTGAAATGCCACCATTAGGAAGACATTTTGAGTTAATCATTGCCCTCTCCTTGATTCCCCACTGAAAATGCAATACAAATCTCCTTGGGAAAGGCAATCACCATCAATGAGTTTGTCATGTCCATTTCATTACAATACATAGATAGGCAGCAGGAGTCACAGAAATTTAGAATCATGGAATGTTAATGCTAAAAAGGACCTCCTAACATAAAATGCCAGAGATGGAGAGAATCAAAGAAATGAAGCCTAACATACTCATTTTATAGTTGGAAAAAAACAAGGTCCATAAAGTGACACATTTAAGGTCACAATGCTAAAGATACCTAGAAAGGGAAGAGGCATGGAAGAGCAGGCATTTTCACTAACTGCCCCTCATTCCTGGAATTTCCCTCTCTCCTCCTCTACCTCCTGGCTTCCTTCAAGTCACAACTAAAATCCCACCTTTTACAGGAAGTCTTTCCCAATTCCCTTTAACGATAGTGGTGTTCTTCTGTTGATTATCTCCAATTTATCCTGAATGTATCATGTACCTACATAGTTGTTTACATATTGTCTCCCTTATTAGACTGTAAGCTCCTTGAGTGCAGGGGCTCTCTTTTGCTTTTCTTTGCATGCCCAGCACTTAGCACAGTGCCAGGCACATAGTTATAAACACTTATTGACTGACAGAAAGGGATTAAAGCATGGAATGGCAAGTATTCTGCAGACAAACTTTAGATACATCATAATTTTAACAACAGAAGATAAATTTGGGCAGCTTTCAGCAGAATGGTGAAATAGGTCACAGTACGGCACTCCCTACAATCTGCTCTATGGACTTTCCACTATGTTTAGCACCCAAGATTCAGTGGAAAGAGATCTGAAGTCAGAAGACTTGGGTTCTTAACCTGGCTCTACTATTTAACACCTGTGTGGGCATGCATGACCATGGTTGAATCATTCCTGCTATCTGGGCCTGGGGGAAGTGTGTGAAGATCTGGACTTGATGACCTTTTTCTTCCTTCCAACTCTAAGCATTCTGTGACTCTGAGGCAATAGCAAAGATTAAAATTTCAAATATCACTGGCGTATATTTTTGATCCAGGCAAGCATCCTTGCTTTCCTCAAACCATGTGGCTTATATTTAACTCTTAGCACCATTAGACCCAATTCTAAAATCCAGCCCTTTATAGAAGCAAAATGAATCATGGTACAGAGGTTAAGAATGGCATTAGAAATGGGTGTCAGGAGATCTGGGGCTCTAGCTTCTATTCTTATAGTTTAGACACAGGCAAGTGACTTAATCTCTCTAGGCCTCGGTGTCCTTATCTGGAAAATGAAGCGTTTAATGACTGAACCAAAGGATCATGGATATCACAGATCTCTAATGGAAGGAAGTTCAAGAGTCCATCTAGTCCCCTTTATTTGGAGGAAGAAGCTAGAGCCTAGGAAGGTTAAGTGACTGGTGTTCAAGGCCACGCAGAAAGTAAAAGTCAGAGGCAGGATTAGAGTCCTGTCCTCTATTTGCAAAGCCAGTGTCCTTCCCACCGAACATTTTTAAAGTCTTTCCAGCTCCAAATCCTACATTACTATGAGGATACTATTTCTCAGGTCCTTTCTGGCTCTACTAGCCCATGTCTATGGCATCCCTGTTTTGCTTTCTTCTAAGGAAAGACACAAACTCAAAGATCAGATGGATAGGAGAAGGGAAGTCTAGAAATACAAAGGTCACACAAGGGAAGGGAAAGGAAGGGAAGATAGAAAGAAAGAGCAGGGTTTGGGGGAGTGGGGTTGGAGAAAGTGAGAATCACAGTGTTCTGATTGCTCTTGGGGCTGTCTCCCTATGGCTTAGCCCCTCTCACTTGGTGGTCATATTTCCATTGGCTGGGATTGTTTCCAGACATGGAGCTGGCCCTGTCCCACCCACAACCACCACAGGCTGGCTCATTCTAAATGCCTAATCAATTGCAGGCTCAGCACTAATAAGTGACTCTAAAAAGGTCTGTCATTTTTGGTTCAGGGAAAAATGGGAGGGGGGAGAAGTGGAGGAATTAGAAAAACTGAGAAATAAATCTACACAGGTTCTTAGAGGATTTACTGAAAGGAGAGGAAAGGAGGTAGGGGGATAATGGACCAAGAGGAGGCAACCCTGCAGGGTGATTTCCAAAATTTGCCCTTGAAGGCCTAACTGTATTCAAAGGACTGAAACTCCCAAGTACACCTGTAAGGGTAACAGTGACACCCAGTGGCCAGTTAAATTCCCAAGGTGATGACTGTCACACTGGTCTCAAAACTTACCAGAAACCTAGAGATATTTTTTTTTAACATGTGAACCTTTTCGCACATAAATTTTCATACAGAGGCCATGCAGTAAAAGTCCTATTGACTTCAACCAGAACAATAGCCCCTGAGTCCAGGAAAGACCTGGCCTAACCTGCCAAGGATATGAGTTTTTTCTTCTGAACAAAGAAAAGAATGTTAGTCAAGGGGCTGGAGGGAAAGGAGGAGGATGATGGCTGGTAGGAGACACAGAAATGGGAGGGGCAGGAAGAATCTATGAATCATAAATGTTAGAACTGGAAAAGACTAAGAACATCAAATGATGGACAGTCATTAGATATTAAAGCTGGAAAAGAGTACATCTAGTCTGATCCCCTCATTTTGCAGAGGAAGAAAGTGAGATGTGATTTGTCTGAGGCTACACAGAAAGTTAATAACATAGCCAGAGCTAGAGGCTACATCTTCTGACTTTAAATTCAAGAGTTCTTGACATTATGATGAGATGTCAAACATGTTACCTGGGTCGAAGTCAGCAACAATCCCAAGTGTGGGCCCTAACCAGATAAAAATGAAATTGGGAAATATTTTATACAATAAATAAAAATACAATAGAACATAGATAATGTTAATATGTGTTTTTTAAGTCAACATCAGCCCACAGGGATCCTTATGTATGATTTAGTGTCCCCTATTTTACTTGAGTTTGACACCACTACATTATACTACCACTCTGCCTTATAATGAGCAGAGAACTGCAAAAGGTGACGTGGGGACACTGTGACCAGCCAAGCCTTGTAGATATCACTAATATCAGGCCTGCACAACACACTGCCCCTGGGCCACTTGCACCAACCAAAGGATTTCAGGTGGCTCCAGAAAATGTTGGGTAACCACTGCCCACTGTCCTGTTTGTCACGTGACCTGCAGCAAACAACCATTGTCAGTCTGTCTCTAGCCTAACCTATCTGTACCCAAAGTAGTTTACAAGTTGTGCGGGTCTGACTTACATGAAGGTAAGAAGTCAGTTACCTATCTAGGTCCAAGGATTATTATTATTATTAGATCACAGCCCTGAAACATAGGTAGAGGGGAAAGAGAGGAAATGAGGAGTAAGGGAGTAGAGTGAGAATGAGAAGGAGATAATATCAGGAGAAGAGATGAAGAGAGAGGGAGAGAAAGATAAAAACAAGGAGACAAAAAAGAATTACAACTCTTATGGGAAGAGGTGTAGCAAGAAAGATCAATAATTGATGTTGTGGTGGGTTCCTAAGTAGAAGCTAACTTTGTCTTGGGGCAAGAGCTAAGGAATAAAAATGCAGAGGAATATATGTAACAGGTCCAAATGGTAACGTGTGTGTATGTGTGTGTGTGTGTGTGTGTGTGTGTGTACACATACCTGTCTGTGTAAAGATGGGGGTAGGGAAACCCAGAATGTGACTGTGAATTTCTAGGTCTTGGGTGCACTCACCTCCTTGGTGCCATTATCCTGGATCAGGGTGTAGAGAGGAACTACTCGGTTGATCTCCAGTAGCACAGGTGTGGGGCTTAGCTGTTCCTTGCCAGGTCGCCGGCACAGGTGGCAGGTGGACGGGCAGCGGCCTTTCTCCTCGCAGCGGATCTCTACTCCTGAGATCAGCTGGTCGTCTGAGAGCATTTGAGCTGTCAAGAGGCCTGAGAGGTAGGTGATGAATGGCATGGATTTAAGCTCCTTCTTGTTGCCTAGCTCTGTTGTTTCTGGTGAGGAGGAAGGAAAGAAAAAGGGTTGGGTTGAGGGGAAGAGGGGGAAAGATAGAGAAATAGGGAAGGGAGAATTAAAACAACACAGTACATAAATCTCAGGCTAATTAGGTATCAGATTCTACAGGCCAGAGGCCAACCTGCCTCCATCCATCTGTTTATGATCTATAGAAGGATGAAACTCTGCAACATGGGGCCCAAAGCACTTGCTCTGGAATCAGAGAACTTGGGTCCAAATCCTACCTCTGGTGCTTGCTATTCATGTAACTTTGGGCAAGTCACTTAACATCCTTGGGTCTCAGTTTCTGCAAAATGAAGAAGCTGGACCAGGTAACCTCTGAGACCCCTCTGGTTCTACATCTATTATACCACACACTGCTGACCTGGGATTACTATCTTGGGTAGGGTTTGGAGAGGTGAAACAAAATGGCAGATCTTTGTTCATGCCTGCATTGGCACCTTCAGTCATGCTGCCCTCAAGCAGAAATGCTCTTTTGCACTCCTGCCCACATAGGCCTTGCAAACTTTAAAGTGATATATTAATGTGAAATATGATAATGATAATAATTATTATTATTATTATTATACTTATTGTTGTTGTTATTATTACCCCTGCTTCTAGACCAAGCTCAAGTTCCATCTCATCCATGAAGCCTTTCCTAGATGCTCCATCCCTGAAGAAGCATATTAGCAACTCTCCATCATGAGAAGACTAGATGGCTGCTTGTCAGGAAAGCTGTAGATGACATTCATGATTTACATGGGGGTTGGACTAGGTGACTCTAGATCACTTCCCACATGAGGTTTCTATAATTTTCGTAAATTAATCTCATTAGTCTTTCTTTCCTTAGAACTCTTGTGATCCTTCCAATCAACCAAAAAAAAAAAAAACCAGATTTGGAAGAGCCCTCAGAAGTCATCTAGCCCTACTGAGTCAGGGAACTGCATTCTGCATCTTCTCTATCACCCTCAATCCTGGCTACATAATAGGAACTTAATAAATACTTGATGAACTTAAAGGCTTATATGTCATAGATGACTCAAGAGATCTTTATTATCGAGCCTCTTTTAAAACACATGCTCAGGATAAGAATGCAGGTCTTCTGTCTGTAGCAGATGATGCTAGCACCAGTAAGTCACAGGTTTATTAGGTTGTCTTTTCATTCCTCCCCATAAGCAATGACAAAGCAGTTGTCACTCTCTGACCTCTTGCTCCTTGGGACTAGTGGTACAAATTTGTAGAATGGGCTGCAGTCATAGGATCCTGGGATTTAGAAAGGGCTGAAACCTGAAAGATGATCCAATCAAGCTTTCTCTCTCCCTCTGTCTTTCCCTCTTCTTCTCCCTTCCCCTCTTCTTCTCTATCTTAACAAAAGAAAAAAACTGAGGTTCAAAGACAATAAGTTACTTGTCCAAAGTAACAGAAGTAAAAAGCAGCAGATCCAAGACTAGAACTCGGATCTTTTGACTCCAAATTCACGAATGATACCATGCTGTCTCTTTCTACTGTGGACTACTTGATGTATTTTCAAAGAGATCTTCAGAAGATTTTGGAAGCAACTATTTCAAAAAGCATCCAAGATACTCCAATTTGGGATCCTAGCTTTTCTGGTAGGACTTTGTCCTAACATCATAAGTTGAGACATTAGAGATCATTAAGTTCAACTCTGTCATTTTGCAGATGGGGAAACTGAGGCTCTGAGCAGTTAAGTGATTTGCCCAGAGTCAGGTAGTAAGTGGCAGAGTCAGAATTTGAATTCAGGTCCTTTGATGGCAAATCTAGTACTTTCCACCTCCTATAATACCACACAGCTTCTCCTATAAGATTCAGAAAGCTGCCAAGCCTTCACCAAGACCCTTCCTGTGTATCTTGGGTTTCTCCTACCTAGCTCATTTGTTCATTCATTCACTCATTCAACAATAATTGAGCATCTACAAGGCATTATGGATACAAAAAGCAAACAAACAAACAAATTCTTGTCTTAGAGGAGTTTGCACTCTAAAGGGAAGATTTACTATGAACTCTGAAAAGTACATGTGTTTACTTTACATATGTTTTGTATTTACTTTTCTGGGCACATGTTTTGTTCCTCCAGTAAAATATAAGCTACTCAAAGGAAGAGTTTGAGGTTTTTTTGTGTGGGTTTTTTTTTTTTGGCTCTGAACATACTTTACATTTACTTTTTTATGTACATGGTGGGAGGCAATTAAACAGCCACTAAAATCAAGAAGTAACACCTGAAATCAACCTTGAAGAGATTTAGGAATTCCAAGATTCAGAAGGAAAGAGTGAAGTCTAGGTATAGACCTTAATAACATCATAGAGGTGTGAGATGGTTGTATGTCTCATACAGGGTGCCCCAAGAAGGCCAATTTGGGTAAGTCACAAGAAAAATCTTTGCCTTGTCAAGGTTACCTCAAATAATCCTGCAATGAATGAAGAGGACAGATGGTCTAGAGTTGGAAGAGGCTGCTGTGACCACTTAATTCAGTCCCTTCATTTTAAAACTAAAAATGCCAAGGGCCAGAGAGTTGAAATATAAAGTGACAAACAAGGCTGGTGAGTAGTAAAGAAGCCTGGCCTAACAGAAAGAACATTGGGCTGGGCATTTGGGAGAATTGGGTTGTAGTATCAACTCTGCTATAACTAGGCGACCTTCTGCAAATGTCTTTCCCTTTCTGGGTATCAGCTTCCTCATCTCTAAATAAACAGAGAAAGAAAGAAAAAGAGGTACAAACTGATGATCTCTATGGTTCATTCTAGGTGGCACAGTGGGTAGAGTGCCAGGCCTGGAATCAGAAAGACCTGAGTTCAAATCTGGCCTCAGACACTTACTAGCAACCCTATATCCCTTGGCAAGTCACTTAACCACTCTCTGCCTCAATTTTCTTAACTATAAAATGGTGATACTAATGTAAAGGACTTAGCATGGTGCCTGGCACATAGTAAGGCACTTAATAAAGGTTTTTTCCCTTTCTTACTTCTTTTTATCCTTCCTCTAGGTAGTTGATCCCTTCTGATCAACCATCAAATCTCTCTAACAGACTAGATGACCTTGATGAGTCCTTCCCATAATAAATCCTACGATTCTATTGCCCATTGTCCCTATGGAGAAAGGCAGGGAATCCTCTTGATCCTAGTCATGCTATTCCCAACCCACATTCCTGTGGTTCCCCAGTCCAAGGATAGGAGGGGTCATCAAATGTTGTAAAGTGGAAAAACCAACAACAACAACAACTCCGAGGAGCCCTGGAGATGTGTCATATCTAACTGAACATCTGTCAAACATTTGTACCAGTGGGGACTTTCCAGAAAACATTTCCCTACAGGAAACAAGCCTATTCCACCCATCTGGGCCATCCTAGGTAAGGCAGACTCACTCAACCTGTCAGAAATCCTGGGTGCTTTGTAGGTAAAGCATAGGCTTGCCAAGGACACCCTTCCTTTCAACCCTCCCGCCTATGGCACAGGCAGTTCAAAATAATGTTTGGGGCCAAAAGCCCCTTCTCATCCTTTAGAGTCTATGAATCTCCCATCAGTGGCCTGGGGCTCTTAGACCCAGGTTAGAGAAGAAGGAATTGCTGCTTCATGCCCACAGCCTGTAGCAACATGCAGCAGATCTGGCAACATACTCTCCAATTAGAAATACAAATAAACACAGTATTCATTCATTATTCTCTGGGCCCCTGCGGGCCCAGGATGGGGGCTCCACCTTCTCTGTCTGGCTGTCAGCAAATGCTTATGTGCACTGGATCAAAGACTCCAGAGGAAGACCGAGTGGATTCCAACTAACCAATCTTTCAGTGGGATTAAAGTAGGGTAGTTACTAAGATAAACAAAACAAGACTGAGAAGGAGGCATCTCAGCAGCTGGGGAGACAGCCATGTATACAGACATGCAAAAAGAAATTTGGAACTGGTTACCAGAGAGATTAGGCTCTTGAAAGGTGGCTCCAAGCAATTTCAAGCCTTGCAAAAGAACTCTGGAAAAAAGAGCTGAGCTTGGCTGCTCAAGAGCAGAAAAGCAGGAGGGGAACCATAAGCATATTAGGACTGGAAGGGGCCTTAACAGAATAGACCGTAGAATGTCAGAGGTGGAAGGGAACTTTAGCACACAGAATGTTGAAATATGAATCATTAAACAGAATGTCAAAGCTAAAAGAGACCATCAGAACACAGAATATTATAGCCAGAAGGGACTATAGTATACAGAATGTTAAAACACAGAAGATAGACTGTTAAATCTAGATCACAGAATGATGGATTATAAAATGTTAAAGCTGGAAAGTATCTTAAAGATACCTAGTCTAATCTCCTAATTTTGTAGATTTGCAATAAAGAAGTACACAGAAAGGAAGTGACTCATTTAAGGCCACACTGTTGGTTACTTATCTGGGCCAAGAACCCAGGTCTCCAGATGCAAAGTTAAGTTCCAGAGGCAGGCCAGTAATTGCCTCTACAGGATAGTGACTGACTTCAAGAAATTTATGGTTTCTTTATATAAATATATAGATACAAATACTTTAAAGAAGTATAAATACTTGCTGAGTGCCTAATACATGCTGAGCTCCATGTACTCATTGCAAGAGACAAAGAAGGGTAAGGTCTTCACACTGTCCAAGTCTTTGTCCTTAATAATATAATTGGTGAGTGAGAGGTTAATGTATATGTATCAACAACAAACATGCCAAGAGAATATATAATTAAAATTTATATTTTCTGCTACTGTTCAGAGGACATCAGTGTCAGTATATAATTATTATTTCACTTGATCCTCACAACAGTCCTTGGAGGTAAGGTGCTATTATTATCCCTTATATAGGGATAGGCAGAAAAACTGATACAAACAGAAATAATGTGACTTATCTAGGATCATATAGCTAGTAAGAATTTGAGATTGGATTTGAATTCAAGTCTTCCTGACTCCAGACCTGGTATTCTCTCCACTGGTTGGGTTGGGGGGGAGGGGGGAATCACCTGGTGGTAAGCAACTTGAG